ACCCACTCCTGGTAGGCAATAAAAAGTTCTACTGGGTTCACTTTGTATTAGATTTTTTCCTGCTTCACAAATGTAGGCAGCAGCTTGACAAAGCCGTGGTGGCAATTATTTTACATTATTATGGTATCGGTATCGGCCGATACTGCACAGCCAGGTACCGGGTATCGAGGCCAAAAAATGGAATGGGTGCAACACTACTAAATAGTACTAATTTACCAACCATAAGTATTAAGCTTTGCATTTCCTTCAATACCAGATGATTTTATTTAAATATTTTATCTCTACCCATTGCCTATTAAAGGGAATGTGGGTATATGACTGCAGTAACTAATTTCAGGTTTCATAAGATAAAAATAGGGAACAGAACCAATATTTTACATTTGTTATATATGTATATATTCCTTTACAACTGAGTACAAATGCAGGGTTTAAGATTATTCTTCTTTTTTTTATCAGTATTAAATTTAGTTGTTTGGCTAAAATAATATCCATGTTTAATATAGGCCCACTAAAATGTCCAAACCTAAATCTGGTTAAGATTCTTTGACAAGGTATGATAGTCACTGCCCAGAAGCTTTTTCCATCCATCTGACAAGACAAAAACTGATGATTTATCGATTTGCAAAGCTGAAATAAGATTGAATGGTTTTAATAAACCTCTACAACTATTCAATTTTCAATATGCATATTCTTCATCGGTAATGCTTTCTTTTACAGTATGTCAGTAACCATGTAATACATTGGTAATAACATAGGAAGTTACACTATATTACTAGGTAACAAGAAATACTTTATAGAGAATTTTGGTAAGTGCTGTGCTTCAAATTTAAGGCAGGCAAGATAAACCCAGGTAACTCAGTCAATTCATCTACAGCAATAAATCAATGTGTTGTTATTTAGTAAAAGGCAGTTTATTACTTGGCATATAACAGAACACCAAACCTAGAATACAGCAAGCCAAACTTCATAACTACACTCTTATTTATATGTAACTTGAGTTAAGTTTTATAATGCTACATTTACCTGATCATAGGATACAATTTACTTTGTAATATGGTGGTAGGTGGTGGCCAATAATAGAAACCGTTATAACCTAATGGTAATTACCCCCAAATATCTCCATTGTTACATAGTAACATACACTTGTAATAATTACATGCCAGTAATAACTTAATTTTTGGGTAATTACCACATTTTTCTTGTTACCAAGTAATATAGTGTGACTTGCTGTGTTATTACCATATTATTATATGGTTATTGATGTTCTGTAAAATAAAGCGTTACCGTTTCATCTTTGGTGCTATGAACTCCTTTGTGTTTGTCTGTCTGTTCAAATCCCATTAGAATTCACTGACGTTTAAGATTACGGTGTCACAAAAATAGAAAAGTTTGAAAAGATATTAAGACTTTTGCAATGAACTGTATGTCTGCTTTCACATGTACCAAACAGTCAAAGCCTCGAGAAAACACATTAGGCTGTAGCATCTCATGCTTTTTTATGCATCAGGTCCTTCAGTTAACTCTGCAAAACATGCCTTCAGGCATGACCGGCCTGGAAGTCACACCAGCTATCTTATGCCATCAACCTGACTGCACATGTGTCACATGTTGACAATAGTCCCTATTACAATCAGTTTGTGCAATAGAATTAGAGAAGTGATCTTATAGCAATTTTAGATTTGTTGAGTCATTAACTGATGATTTGTATGTTGCTGCCATGGGTTAAGTGTTCAGTTCTGCAGCAATCAGAAGATATTAAAAATATGCAAGCAATTCTATTCTGTCTTTCAGTAAGACCTAGACCATTAGTTTGATGGACAAGAATGTCAAGCACACAAAGCCTCATTTCTAACTCTTTTGCATTTGCAAAACAAAGAATCCTCTGTTGTTTTTGCTGGAATTGCTAAAGTGGGCGCATTTGCCTTCAAATGAACAGTCACTGTAGACCATATGACAGCATGTGAGCCAGAAGTCTAACAATGAGAGCCACATAACAGGTATTTGTGTTAGTTTAGCATCCCTGTATCCATGCTTCTGAGAATTTTCTGCTTAGCATCCATGGTGTTCTGTACATGTGATAAAAAATAAACTTGGGACAAATGGGCGTGGGACCGCTGTGAGTGTTGGTGGTGCGGACGCAGTGCTTCTGGCCCCGTGTCTTCTCCATCTGTCTTTTTACTCTCCAGTGCAAACCATGTAGTTTCCCTTTGCTTTACATTTTTTTCTTTAAATTTTTCAGAAATCTAGGTTTGCTTATGATCTCTTTTACATGCACTGGTTTATTTCATACTAAATCCATTTTCTCTCATTTTTACTTGCATTATAAAGACAGCACAAATCAAACACTAATAATGACTGATTATTTGCAAGCTTAGCCAGTGTGCACCCACTGGAACGAATAGCCATGGTCTACTGCAGCTCACTCAGCACATCTCAAACTTGGCTGCTTGGAACATCAGTTTAACCTAGTAACATTTGTTCTCTTTATTGTTTGGAATAATAGCTCACTGCCTGTTCTTTATGAGTATACTGAGTAAACTCAGTATAAAACTCTTTCACATTTATATCAAAACAGTTCCCCTACATCTCTGTTTAGAAATCTATGACTATGCTGCCCTGCAAGAGAGAGTTAGGCCGGAGCAGGTCTGGGAGCAATGCCAGGAGCAGCGAGCCAGACACAGTTAGCCACCAGGGAGTTTCCAATCACCTCCCTCTTCTCTGCTCTCATTTTTTTTGTTGAGATAGTTGAGGGCATGCTCTACAGTATATGTCTGCTTCCTTTAAACCCTGGTGATTGGCTTGAATCTTACATTTTTTGCTACAGTTTTCAAATGAAGGCAACAGTTGGTTGCATGTTTATCAATATATACACTACGGTAATTTTCTAATAATGTCTTTGCAATTTGTAGATATATTGGTCCATTACATAACTTATGATGTCAATTCCTGCCACAGTGTTTGTCTCTAACGCCATTCTAAATGCATTTATACATAGTTCAAGAGACAGGAAGTGATTAAAACACTCAAGGAAGTGAAATAATAAAACATGCTGGTAATAATAGTTATTGATGCTTTCAGCCAGAGTGCTGTCTGCCTTCCATATACAGTCCTTTTAAAGTTAGAACATTTCAATAATGTAAAAAAAACGAAGATGTGATTTGAAACAAAAGGTTGTCTTCGTTTGGTTAATGAAATAGTTTGAGATAGACCAAAATGAATGAATGAAAACTGCAATATATTTTTTCTTTCATATGTAATAAAATAATCCTTGTTCCTCTTTTTTTTGCAAGGTTTACATCATCAAAGTGTCCTGGAGTGATGGGAGTACAGAAACCATTTACAGGCGTTACAGCAAGTTCTTTGACCTCCAGGTGAGTAATTGTGTTAGTATGTCATTGTGTGGCTCTGGTTAAATTCCTGTACTTATCCACATTTGGTCTGTGGATGACCTAAACTGCCTGCAGGGATCAATGGAAAATCTTAAATTAAATTAGTTTAAAGTCTTAATTTAACATGCAAACCCCAAAACACTACACTTCTCTTATTCTGAAGGAAAAAAACTTCTATTTCAAATGCAAGATGAGTGTTTATATAGAGCCAGTCATACACAAGGCAAACAAAAGAGAAACATTAACATAACAAAATCGGATTTTGAAGAAAAAAACATAAAAACATACAGATGGTAAAATGTAAAGTGTTAAGTCTCAGCAGGATTTTTCAATCATAAGTTTTCGTAAACAATATTGTTATCTGTTCCTATTAGAAAGAATCAATAGTTTATGCACATTTCAAGGTTTCAGGGAGTTTTTTTCCAGAGCTGAGGAACACAGAAACTAAATGTCTACTAGCCTTGTTTAATTCTGATTTTAAAAGTACTGAATAAGCAGGTGTCTGAAGAGCTGAGAAACCTAAAAGATTTAAACTTTACCAGTAACTCAAAAACATATGTTGGCTCAGGTCCATTCTGTGCTTTATAGACCAATTACAAGGTTTTACAGTTTATCCTTTTATGCATAGAAAGTCAGTGCGATGAGTTTAAAACTGAAATGGTATGATCCACCTGGTGTTGGTTAGAGTTCTAGCAGCAGCATTTTTGATGAGCTATAACTATTGCGTCATATTTATTTCTAAACGCCTGCTAGCAAAATAAACATGCTCGCATGTATGTTAAACTACGTCTATACATGGTTTATCTACCACCACACAACAAAATCAAAAAGTGACGCTTTCGAGAACGCAGCCATCTTCGAACTTGGCTGCTGGATAGAAAATAGTGCTTGCGCTTAGATCCTGAGCACGATCCTAAGCATGCGTCGGAGGAGCTGGCACTTACTTTTGGAAAGTACCGTAAGCTTGTATGAGCGATGCAAACAGCAACTTTTAAACAGAGCGTGCACGAGGAGAAATTGGCTCATGCATGTTCTCACATGCATTTAATAGGCGTTCCCTCTCAGGAGTTGCTACAGGGTTGTGCATGTGCATCCTTTTTTTTTCAAAAATTCGTGAAAATCCTCCACTATACATTTAATCTTGGACTGTAGGTTTGCACTGCAGTTGGCATGAAGAAACTTACCAATAGGATGCTTGTTGGATTGAATGTCAATGAAGTAGATGCCCATCCATGACCCAGATGATAGTGATAGATGTCAAATTAAATCGTTTGAAGCTTTAATATCAAGAGCCAATGCCCTATTCTAATGCATTTTTTCCCCCTCTACACTATAGTTCTTACTAAAGACAATTGTAAAGTTGGTAAAATATTCCCATAAAGACTTTAGTTAACTTTATAACCCTTCTTCCAAGACGAGTTGAAGCCGCTGTGGCTGATTAATATGAGGCACTGTTGTATGAAAGGCTGTTTTATTAAGAGTGAGATCTCATTAATGTTCATGTATGTATTATGGAAAGTATTTATAATGGAAAGTGACACTTGGCACTAAAGTATTTGAGAGACCTCTCCATCATAGAGGCAGTTTCTCTCTTGCCCCACCCATAGAACACCACTAATTAAACTGTGTGAGAGGACTGAGAAAATATCTTTATTGAAGTTAAAAGAGAGACATTGATGAATGGAAAGACTGCACTGATGGCCACAGAAATGTCTGAGTCATTTGAACATCACGGTTCTGCCAGTGTGTGCTTTGCACAGGGGGAAATTTTATTAGTATCAGTTCCCTTCTTCCGTTGAAGGTAATGGATCTTTAGAGGCCAGCTGCATCAAAGCTCTGAGAATGTCAGCTGTAAATCAGCCCATATTGAGATTGCTTTACTGACCAGCAGACAGACAACCCCAAATAGTTTCAATTTGCATTGGAGTCATGCTATGTTTCATTTAAGTCTCTGAAGCTGCTAGTATAATGTTAAACCAGCGACAGTATTTCATCACTAGTTGCATCCATTTGATGTTTTTTTTTCTTTTTGTGCAGAGTGATAGATTGTTATAACTCAGGGTTCCTCAATTGTGGCGTAGGTACCACATCTGCTCAGGTGGTCAGCTTTGCTCGGGGCCCCGCCCCTGCTGATGAAGTCACAATATCTAAATCTACTCTTGAGTTTTAACTTCTTATTATTTATATTTGCCATTATTTTATGTTTCTTTGGTGACCTAAAGTAGTGGAAAGTAGAAAACAATCATTTTCATTCTAGAAGGAAAGTACTGTGTTCAAAGTTTGGCTGAGTTCTGCATTTTAAAAAGGTGATAAAAAAAGTCTCATCTCTTCTTTGTAATGTTTTTATGAAGATGAGGGCAAGGGAGGATGAATGGAACATATTTCAATTTGACTTTCATGGAGATTTTAAAGAAAGGAAACAACAGTTAAACTACTTGTAGAAAATTAACAGTCGCTGTTGACACAAAGTTAAAAGTAGTGTATCTTAGTATGGGTAACTGGCCGAGCTAAAAAAAAAGGCTAACCTGTTAGCTACTGAGCACAGCTAGGCACAGGGCTACCCAGCTCTGCTCGTTTATACCATGGTCTTACAGTTACTTGGGTCACCAAAAACAGATGTTTTCAGATTTGTTATCCATCAGGTAAAACTCAATCATCAGACAAACTAACACTAAAGAAGCTCTTGACTTGTCACACAGATGATGTTAAAACTAGTGTTGCGCCAATGCCATATTCTGGCCCCGATACCAATACCCAATACCTGGCTGTGCAGTATTGCCCGATACCATCTGTTTGAAATTGATGTGTTTGTATACATATATGAAGAATTTCATACTACGAGGATGTAAAATAATTGCCATCAAGGCAATTATTTTAAATTTGTCAAGCTGCTGCCTACCTTTGTGAAGCAGGAAAAAGACTAATACAAAGTGAATCCAGTAGGACTTTTTATTGCCTACCTGGAATGGGTTGACAATAGTTGAATAAACCTTTGGCTCTCAAAATGGTATCGGTTCCCTATTTGTTGGTACTCGCAGATGCAATACTAGTTAAAACTAATAAAAACAAAAAGTTTAAGGCGATAACATTGTGTCCTACTATCTGCTTTTTTGATTCACTCTCTGTAAAAAAATAAAAGCAATATTTTTCATCACAATCACTGAGTCCTGGACCGGCCATTTTTGCCCACATATAGTAACACCTCACTCCTGACATCTTTCAGCAGTGACGTCATGGTGCGGTAAGCCTAGCTACTAGACATATCTGCAATCAACAACAATTATTTACGATTTTGAGAGAATTTCACCATTGAAATTCATGAGAGCTATAGTTAAACTGACAATGCCCATGTGCATGGCAGTTGGATGTTGTAATACATCGGATAAAAGCAAAAAGAAAATTTGTTATTTCACCTTTCCCATTCATGATCCACCACCGGTTCATCGTTGGATTACCAACTTTAAGAGGAAGGATTTGCCATCGAACTTCTGGCCAGAGAAAAAGCAGGTCATTAAACCATTAAACTCTGCTTTGCATAGTGCACTGGTTGTTGCACATCATGGATAATAGTACATTGTGACAAACACCAGATACAGCATTTGGACTTGATCAACAGCCGATACCACACTGTGATGTTACAAACCAGTAGGTGGCAGTAGTGTTCTTTAACAAACGTGGATGTCCCCGGTAAAGCACATTCAAATGAAAAATATCTTAATTAAAAACAGTTATCACTTATGGAACAGTAATAATTTCATATTTAAAGTATCTTCAGAAGTTTGTATTCTGAATGTGACTGGACTTTTCCTTTATAGAATAATTTTTGACACTGCAGTGATGGATTTTTTTTAATTAATTTTTTTATATTACCTCTCTTGATATGTCACAATTACTGTCATTGAATCTGATGGTATTGGCAGAAGTATTTTTGGTTGGGGTTTTCCTGCCTGACCTCACCCCTACCATGCTATTCTTATGCTTCCTGCTTTGTTGACTGTAGTTAGGCAAAGCAATATTTTCAACCAGCTGTGGTGTTTTGATACAAACACTGAAAGTCGCTCACATTTGACATCAGGCCAGGTGTCTGGCCAACACAGTGATGCTAGACTGAAATATGTAACTGTTCTCGATAACTGCCTCTTCGTCATTTCCTGTCATCCATCTTTTCTGTTGGTTTCCTAGCATCGCTCTGACTAACTCTTTAAAATGGTACTCTTTTTGTTCAGCAGAAATTATTAATAGTAAAGAAAGGATATGACAGAAACTGAGTGAGTCACTAACTACAAAAAGTAACCAAAGCTGGAATAAAAAACCTGATTGTTTATATGATTTGGTTAATAAGGTTTTATCATTTTACTGAAATTTTATGTCACTGACTATTTTATCTTTATTTTATTGCTTGTAGTTTAATAGAAATTGGCTTGTACTTTTCTATTTATCTGTGGAGGACTTACACAAAATAGTAAAGCATTCTTAAATGTTTATGTAGAAGGTAAAACTGGCAAAAAGGGTTCAACTGTGTGTTAAATTACCTGTTGTGTGAAGATCAAAGATGATAACAAGCAAATATTGGATGCAGTTTGGGGGGGGGGATTTAAAGCAGGTTTGAGCCACAAAATATTTTTCTCACCAAAAACTTATTATTATTATTTTTTTAAACCTTCAAGAAATCTAATAAGCAGTGACCGAAATAGAAGATTTTAATAGGCTACTGAGGGCAAGGCAGGAATCAATGTGTACTGAGGGGTGGCCAAAATTGGCTGGCAACAAAACCAGTTTAGGGGGAATCTACACTAATCAAACTGGACCAGCAGAAACCTTAACATGCAAAAAAAAAAAGAAATCACTGAAGACAGGGCAGGTATGTTAAATAACCCCTTGCTAATAAATTTTAACACATATTTGTAAACCTAGGCTGTCTAAGATAATAATGTAGGGTTGTTTATCTGTTGTTTATTTGTTATTATATTGAAGACTCATGACTGCAGATGTCTCCTTAAAACACAAAAACACATTCTGAAAAGAGTATGGCTTCTGTATTTATCTTTAATACATTGATGTGAATAGATAATTACTGCATTTTTGTTGTCAGTTTAGGGTCAATATTCTAGCAGTTAAAATGTCAAATTGCTGTAGTTAGGACATTCCACTGCTGCCACACTTTGGTTTAGAAGGGGAACCGCATGTTTGAATATGTTTAATTATGTCCATAAACTAGCTGGTAGTGGTGGCCATTAAGTGGAAAAGATGGCCGTGGCCATCTTCTGTCCCCAACCTGCAGATAAGCACTAATGAGTTCTGGTGTCTGGATCTGAACATACGTATTTATGAACTACTAATTCAAAGGAACAAGATCGCTTTCTTTTAAAGAGGGATTACAGAGTTTTTCTAGTGATACTGCCACCTGTGTCCAAATACAGAACTACAGCTCCGTTCTGCTTGTTCTTTTAGCTCGCGTTCATACTTAAAAAAGTTTATTATGCTTTTTTGAAAAAAAAAAAAAAAACTATCTTGAAAGCCTATCTTGAATATAATGCTTCGATTGTTTCCTACGTTGGACCTATTTAACATGGATGTACTTGATGCTACAAATAAACTTGCTTTGCCTAGTTCCACAATAAACCCAAAGTAATTAAAGGAAATGGGCTACAGGCTTATAGATGAATTGCAGCTAAACTACTAAGTCTAGTAACTCTCAGTCTGTTTAAGACTATGTTTTAGTTGCTAAAGGTCAAATAAAAAGGCTATTTTAAAGATTTTCTTTCAGTAAAAACTTACATAATGTATCCTAAATTTGATGGTATTAGACTTTGGAAGAACATGCATTTATAAAAGCAGTACTTGTATTTTTGCTAATACCAAGCCTTATAAGTTACACATTGTCCCTATAAGTATTTAGTGAATGATGTATGTGTTTTTTGTATTTATAAACAGTTTCAAGTTATATAACTGGCAGGTTAATTTGCCAATACCTCTGTCACATATTCCACCACGATACATGATCAAAGGCAAGGCTACAAATTAGTAAGCTTGTAATGCTGTACAATTTATTTTTTATTTAAAAGTAAATTAGTTTTTTTTTTTCAAAGCAACGTATTATGATTATTACACACATTTGGGAATCACTCCCTCACAAAGTAGATCTCATATCAGTTCTGCAATAGGACAAACACTGCATCCATGATGCTTTAAACAGCTAAAGACCTTGCCTTGGAGCATGAACAGTCTATGTTGTATGCATGACATAGATTACATTTTGCAGGAATGTTTCTTTCTGTCTCCAGATGTCTTTTTTTCTCCTTTGAGTGGCTCTGATTACAGAGTAGATACAAGTTTTAAAGTAGACACCGAGACTGGGATATGTTTGCACTCCCACCCAAACACATGGGAACAATTACACTGTGTGGGGCATTGGATCCTCTTTGTCTCTGTCAGGCTGTGGCTGCCTCTGTGTTTATCATGGCATTCCTAAGGTGATGTTGTGTCCCTGACTAATATCCGACTCTTTAGCAGATGCACTTTGAGTTTAATCATTTTTGCCCAACATACTGTTTTAGAATTTTCTCTCTTTTACCACTTGATTTTTTTCCAGAGCCCTCCATTTATGATTTAGCCTACAGATTTCTATTTCTTGGTTTTATTTTGTATGGCACTAGTGGCCTTAATATATTTGTCAGTAGACAAGAAATGTGGGGAAGACATGGACCAAAGGTTTCCAAGTCTACATTTAAACCCAGGACGGCTGTGTTGAAGACTCCCTGTATAAATATTTAGATTAAATATAGATTTTGAAGTTCATTCTGAACAGTGTCATCCCATCAGTTAGTATTTCAGGTAAAAAAGGCATCCAAAATATTCAAACTTAATTATATGAGTTTAGGTTGGCAGTTACAATTCCATTTATTTCTAATCTTTTTAATTATTGCTTTGACTGTAGATATGGACACATTTAGACAAGTAGATTTTGTCTTACTTTTAAATACTGAGACATATAAGCCATCATTAAATGGGAAGGTCTCTTGTGTTTTCCATTCTGAAGAAAGACTTGCTGAACTAACTAACCTTTTGAGTTATCTTAAGTATTAAAATCTAAGAACTCATAATTATATGTATTTTGGTGTCACCTTTAACAACTTCTATAAGCAAATGTTATTACCTTGAATAACAACACTAGAAATGCCATTTTACAATATTTTGAGAATTTATTTATTTATCTTTACAATGATATATCACTTTGTGTGTGGGGTTCCATAACAAAATGGATTAAATCCATAGTCTGTAATTAACTCAGTGGGTTCAACCATATCTTCAACTTAATTTTGAAACCCTTTTTGCTTAAAATTTATTAAAAATAAACAAAGGACCAAATTATTTTTGCTTTATTTGTTGAAACTGCTGATATGGTGGGCATTTATTTTTAAATCTGGAGTTTCCAAAGTTTGTAGCCTTATTCGTGATATGTCTTAAAGGTATATTTAGTTTATAATTCACAAGAATTTTGGAGAGGGTAAAATAATTCTGCTATTTTTCTGTTATCCATCCTCATTTACTCACTAGTTTTGATGAAATCTCCAAAGTGTTAGCCTTATTTTGATACCGAAATTATTATTATAGAGCCTCTAGCTGCTAAGAAAAGAAAAAAAAATATTTTATTTCAAGTACAGACTTCAAGAGAACCCCTTGGTGCTTAAAAGGTTAATCTTAAAGAAGGGTGGATCTTCCAACTGTGGACAACAGTTTTACTTTCCTGTAGTATTCCATAGGGCTCATTGGATGAAACCTGCATCCATGTGATCCTTTGCAATTTAAAATAGTATATACCAGATGAACAAAATGTACATGGTCCTAGAAATTCCTGCAGTCTAAAAATAAATCAGATACCAGTCAAGATTTTGAGGGTACCAGTGATGGAAAGAATGGAAGCAATCTTCTAATAACTGGTTAAAGCATATTGTAAGGAACTTTGCTTTAGGCCCTTAAATATCTCTTGAGCTCTCCATTATTTAGTAGCCAGGGTCCTGTTGTGATTGCGTCAGTGTGTCTTAAAAACCATGAGAAACATAAAGTGTTCTCCACACACATGCTGGTTTTGTTTTTTTAAGACCGATACTGATTATTATAAATCACTAACCGATCCCCAACATGTGAGATAAAATCTTTTTGTCAAAGCTGATGTTGCTTTTTCTTTCTCTGTTAGCATGCTAAAAAGATACACAGGTCTTAATTTTAACAAAATAAAGAAATATTTACTAACAAATCAAAGAAAAAAAATGAACAATGTTTATTAAATTAGGAGAGCCACATAGCATGCACGTTAAAGCATGGCTACTGAATAATCTACTTACAGTACACATGAATGATGCCGAACGAGGTCTGATTTATTGGTCTATTGCTAACAAGAAACTCTTCAAATTTAAAATTTTACTATTTCGTTTCAGTATTAATGGTATCGTTGTTATTAATACATGCAAGGTGTCTTTTTAATATTTAAACATTTAATAAATGTCTCAACTAGTCAGTATGTTGGTTGTTGCTTTAGAATGACTATTAAATGAACACAGTGTTTTCCTTACAGTTATTAGTCAAGTTAAATCCCCCCGTCGACACTCAAAAAAACAAAAAACAAAACAAAAACTATAGGTATCTGTAAGGCTGGATTAAATCTTTTTAATTTTATTACATATGATGGCAATATTCTTTAGTCCTACAGGGTGTTATAGAAATATACTATATTTAATTTGTTGTCTTTGACTTATGTGTCAAAATTTGAATAGGTTAACTTTGTGGTCCAACATTCTTTTTTTCATATTCTTATTTTAATTATTCTTTTTTTTTCATTGTCTTATACATTTATATGTATTACTTAATTAATTTCCTTTGCATCACTGCAATGTACCTATTTGTTTTCATGTACAACAATGAATTGTCTTGCTACAAATAAACTTGCTTTGCCTAGTTTTTAGGAAAGCTTTTTTTTTTTACAAAGTTTCATAAAGAATTATTAATATTAGTGTTACTATTAAAACATAGCATTTGTGTACCTTAGTAGTTATTTATTTAGCTGAAAAAACTACACAATTCATTTCAGTGAGACAATAATTAAGGGTAGGATTACTTTTTTTTTTTTTTATTATTAATTGCTGTAACAGAGGTCAAGAAAAAAAAGACGAGATTTAGAGCCACGAAGAACCACATTTCATTGGGATTTTTTTTCTTTTCTTTCTGAGATACGATGGAAACAGAAATATTCCACTATGTCAGTGGCTCCTGGCTGCTAACAGCGCCCATGACTACAGCAACATATGAAGCCCAGTGGTAAAAAAGAAATACCATCTGGCCAGAACATTCCTGCCCCCATTGGCCGGATTTACTGTAGCAACTGCTGATTTATAAAAATTGACTTCCTCACCGCCTGCAGCTATCCTGTTTCATCAGCCTGTAATGTGTGAATGTAAATACTATCTGTGCTAATAACTTTTAAAACATTTTGGAACTTTCAGATGGAATTGCTGGATAAATTCCCTGTGGAAGGAGGCCAAAAGGACCCAAAACGCAGAATCATTCCATTTTTACCAGGTGAGAGTTAGAAATCTTTATAACCTTTGGATATGTGCCACTTCATACAAAACTTAAAATCCTTAAATTTGTCTTCCATACAAGATGGTTTCTTTATTTTTATTATCCCCACTCTATCAGAAATGCAGACATAAACTACACAACACAGACTTATTGATAACCTTTAAACAAACAGGTATATATTTTGTCAAAATTAAAGGAAAAACAAAAAAAAGCACAAAAGTACCACCCACCAGAACCCCCCCAAGGACAATTAACCCTTTAAAGCCCGATCCAAGAATAAAACAAAACAGAAAATTACTTTTTTTTGGTTTGAAGTCCTTATTTGGCCTTTTAACAAAATATGTAAAAAGAAAAAACAGAAATAGATTTTTGATATTAATAATTTATTACTATGCGATAAGTACATTTTTTGTGTAGTCTTCTGCCCTCTGTTATCAGGTATATCTGATTGTGTACAATAGGATTTTGAGCAAAGTTTTTACCATTAAATTATGCAAAAGGTGTCAGACGCAAAACATTTCAGAAACCGTATGTATCAAATACGATACATTTGGCATTACAGGGTTAACACCCCCCCTGTGACCTCCTTGGCCAATCCAGTGGGAGGGATCAGAGCCACCTTTTGTCCCCCCTAAAGGCTGATTTATGCTTCGAAACTTGGTCGTCTGCGTAGGTGTCGCAGTGAACGCAGAGACAACCCCACCCCCCCTCGCGAACACTCTGCTGCACCTCTCCCAAAATTTTAGGTGACTGCAGACAGGAGGCCTCTGATTGGTCAAATCTACATCTGCTCTACTCATACGTATTTCCTGTTTGGTGTCTCACCGCCTTGTTTTGTTTGTATGACTGCCATTGCGGAAAAGACCGAGGTCACGAGAAAGCTGGGACCCTTTTTCCACCTGGATCCTCCGCTCTTTTTCGCCTTCATGCCCCTACGTTTTCGGACAAACTTTTCCCCACTTCCTCACCGCCTCGGCTGTATCTACACCCACAGCTAGTTTGTAATTGTCCCCCTTGTGTTTTGGCGTGTAATAACATAATGTAGACCACGCTTCAAAATTGAGAATAAATCAATAATGTCTACGTCATATCTGCGACAAGCTCACTGCGACACACTGCTGCGGGAGTATAACCAGCCCTTAACTCTTTGTTAGACCAACAGTACAGTCACCTAAGTGCTCCACACCACTAGTTAAAACTGAAGAAGCCTCTTGGATGAGAGGCAAAGCGTCTTCTAGAAAACTTGGTGTCCAGTTGCCTAGACTAGAACTAAACTGAACTTTGTCCAGCTTGACAATAACCTGGATGACTGAGAATCTTCACAGATAAAATCATCTGTATAAACAGAAGTCACGGGCTGTACCTCGAAAAGTATCTTTAAAAAATTCCGTAAAAGTTCCAAAAATATCCATTGGACTTGGTTTCCAAAATTTGAAGACGTTTCGCCACCTCTCCAGGAAGCTTTCTCAATTCAAATGTGACATTTGTGACATTTGAATTGAGACATTTGTCACATTTCAATTGAGAAAGCTTCCTGGTCTTGTCTTAGCCTTACGCTAAGTAAAAGGAATGGTTACTCTCACATCTTTTAAAAAATAGAAGTTATAACAGTGCTTTCTGTGTACTTGACCGACTTTAAATCCTTCTAAAAGGATTCCTTCAAGGAAAGGAGAAAAAAAAAGGCCTAATCCACAGACTCCACCCACATGTCCCCCACCACGCAGGCATGTGATGGCTGGAAGGAAAGTATTTTTTTAAGTCTAGGTCTGGAACTCATTGAGAGAGGTCATAGTAAAAACACACCCCAGATAAAATGTTTGAGCTTTGAAAGAAGGAATTGGGATAAAAAAAAAAAAAAAAGCTTAAGTTTTTCTTTATTTAAACCTTAAATTAAGAGATTTTCTCTGGAACTTATGCCTACTTTCTGATAATTCTCCTTTTAATCTCTTCAATTTCCCAGAGAAACTACTTTTTGTAAATCTGATATATGCTCCTTTCTTTCTGTTCTTTATGATGTTTACTCTTCTTGTAAGCTTTTAATGTAATATTAGAGAATAATGTACATTAAGTTCACCAATAAAGCAGGATGGAAAACTAAGCTTATGGTGAGTGACTCAAAAGGGGAGGTTTTGAAGAATGTGAAGGCTCAGATCATAGATCAGATTACACCTTTTGTTCCAGAGGGTTCAAAAGTAAAATTTGTCAGAGTTCCTCACGTTTCCTAACAGCCACTAAAGTCATTTTCTACAACGAGAGTATGGAATGAGGTCAGCATTACCCTGCTCTGATGTCTGGTTGGTTAAAGGCATTGATACATTTATACTCTTTTAGTATCTCAAGACACGAGGGGGAAGGTTTTGCTGTCTATGTACAGAGTGGACTGTTAAGAATAATTAGCTTTTTGGTTTGTTTTTTCAGCTTTTTCAACCTATGGCTTGAATGCATAATTTTTTTAATCGATGAACGAGCAAATGAATGAAAACAAAGAAGTGATTACAAATTGAATATAATGTTAGATGGTTCCCAATCAATTTATTTTGGATTTACATCTGCTCCCACTTTGCTTTACAATATAACCTAAAAAATAGAAAAATTAATAGCTTTATTGGTGTACAAAAGGGTTAAAAAAGGTTACTCCAAGTAACTTACAAAGGTTGTAACTGGGGAGCCTTTTTTGATACCTAATCACGAATACACAGAGCCAGTGTTACACTGGGTGTTGATGGAGATATTTTTTATTTATTCTATTTAAATGTAACATTTATGATAATACAATTCATGCAAAGCAACTTTATTTCCATAGTGAATTTCATGTTTATCTTTATAGGAAAATAAATAATAGATTGTCAAAAGAGGTATTAAATATTAAACTAAGAAAAATTATCCAGTACAAAAACCTTCAACAAAGATTGTTGCCTTCGACTGAATGATTAAAGTTAGGTAATCTAGCAATCAAGACAAATACATCTATTGATATATTTCAAACATGTGTTCATTTTTATGCTATGATATTAATACGTGTTTCTTTTACTATTTACATATTCCACAATTTTTGTCAAATTCATTGTAAAAAAATAAGTCCTTCAACAATGCAAGAATTAGCCTTTCAGGTCATTATATCAATTGGAAGCATCAATGTGATATGTAGTAAAGTTAAATCATTACAATTCTTTTTCAGGATATCTAATATGGCATTTTGAAGGTTGTGCAGCAAATCTGTCATGGAGACCTTCCAGGCTCCTGGTGGAATGTCTGTCTGTGCTCATTGGTCTGTTTAAGCTCAGTGTTGATATCCTCCATGATGTAGATGATGTGTTTATTGTGGTAGTTTTGGCATGTTTTCTTCCGGTTGAGATGATGGCTGCAAGTAACGACTATTTTGCAAATAGATTAATCTGTCGATTATTTTTACGAAGAATCGATTAATAATCAGATAGCCAAAGATTCCCTTTAGGAAGATTTTTTACGAAATTAAAGTAGGTGAAACTAAATCTTTTCCCCTTGAGGAGTTCTGGATAGAGCATATTGACAGACATTTTGTTTTAATCTTAAATGCAAAATGTTTTTTATATTTAATAAGTGGGTTGCTCTGTCAGCTAAAGGCATGTTTTAGTTTCTATACTCAATTTAACTATTAATTGATTACTAAATTAGTGGAGGTTTATTTTAATAATCTATTAATAACGTTTAAAACGATTAATTGCTTCAGCCCTAGTTGAAATAAAACAAAATGGACAACTGTTTATTTACTTTTAACACAAAACGATTCAATAGACGGATTATCATTGCTTATAAGATGCATTAACTTTTTGTCAAACGAAACCGCCACAACTGAACCTGTTTGTGCTTTAAGCAGAGCGTTAACTCTTTTGTTGGCCTCATGTTTTAATTCAGGATTTTTATTAGTCGTAGATATATTTTAGTAATAAAGCACACTATGGATCTAAATAAAAAAGGTTTTTAACTTTTATTTAAACAAAACTTTATAGTCTTCTGGGAGTCTGTTGCAGATAAGAGGACATATGAACTAAATGCTGCTTCTCCATGCTTGGTTCTGGTTTTAAGGATGTTTATAGAGCATAATTTCAGCCTTACCCAAAGCAGTATATTATTTATGGTTTTGCAAAGAAGCAAAAACTCAGACATTTTGGTAGAATTTTATATAATCTTTCATTAGAAATAAAGGGAATATACAGGGTTCTCACCAGGATTTTAATCAATGTTTTTATAGGGACGGGGAGTTTTATTTGTATTTATTTATTTTTTTTTTTTTCGTATTTTTAAAGTTCCTTCTTTGCTATCTTTTTTAAGTTAAGGTAATTTGCAGCAGTTTGAAACCTTTTTTTCGACATCTGGATGGAGTTGCTGACATGGAGTACTCCATGCCCTGATTGGTCGGCTTTTCGTCTCAGTAATTTCAGACACCATGATGATCCAACTCTTAAATCTTCAGTCTCTTTTCATTGGTGATAGAGGTGGATATGGCTCGACTGTCTGCTCTCTGTGCGTTCACTCTGTCTTCAAGTATAAATTATGTTTTTTTCCATCTGCTTTTATTCCGTTTTGAAATCTTTTGTCATTTTGTTTAGCATTGAATCAGTTCTTTACACCACCATCTCCAATATCTCATCTTTGATTACATTACCAAGTCCACATGCAGCAGCTCTAATTCCTCCTTTGTCAGCCAGATTGATAACCTTTAACCAAAAAGCTATATCATATGTGTTTCTATTTGTATTTCCTTGATGAGGATGTGTGTGTATGTTCTTAATCTGATTTGAACAATTTGATTTATCCATAGTAATCTGTCAAGCTAAATATGTTGATGGCTTGAAGCCAAGTGTGAAGCTAATGAAGAAAATCTGAGATCCATGGTGGAAAAACGTCCAATAAATTGATTCAAAGACAGATAAGATTCAAGTAGACCTTGAAATACAAAATGAATGTGTTCACTTACACAAGAGTGGCATACGGATGTAGCTGCAGAGTTGATTGAT